TTAGAGGATTAAATATTAAAATGGCTTCCCAGATAGAAAAATGGCTTCCAAATTGAAAAAAGCTATTAAAAAGAAAAATATGATTTATATAATCTTCTCTTGATTTAAAGTAAATAATGCATGCTATTTTATGTTTGGTTTTTTTTTTATACAGGGTTATTTCGGGGTATTTCATAGAGTAATAGTCATTCACCTGTGTTGCTCTCTTGTGTTCCCTTGTAGGGATAGGCCACTATTGTTTATTAATTCTATCGCTTAGTGGCTATTTGGACGTTTTCAAATTTCTGCCATTATGACCAGTGCCCTTAAGAGCATTGTCTACATATCTGCACTTGAGTGTCTTATTGTCATCTGCATCTCGTCATGCCCTACGGTCACTTCTCACCGTCTGCCCGAGAACTTGACCCATGTATGATGTTCTACATCTCAGTTGATAGAAACCCCATCGTTCTAGTTTCTCCTGTGAAATAACCGGAGTCATCTTTGACTCCTCTTGTTCCATCTTGCTTCAACTTCAGCCCGTCCGGGAACTCCACAGGTCTCACCTGTGCTCGTCCTGTGCCCCGCTGCACTGTGACTCCCCAGGCTGACCCACTGCTTCTCATCTGGTTACGGCTTTCACCTCCTAACAGGTGTCCTGGCCTCTACATCTGGCCCCTATATTCTAGTCTAAGTACAACTGACGGGCTGTGGAGCTGTGAGGTGTGATCATTCCTCCATGCAAAAGCCTGAAGTGGTTCTGCAGCACTCCCAGAGTCAGAGCAAAGTCCCTCCTGTGGCCGACTGCCCCCAACGAGGTGCTGTGCGCCACCTCCCTTCCTTCCTTGTATTACTCTCCATCTCCCTCTGCTGCAGTCACGCGGGGACTGGCTGTGTCAAAGTATCCAAAGTTGCGAGGCCTGCTCCTGCCTGAGGGCCTGAGCTTTGGCTGTTTCCTTCACCTGGAACAGTACTTTTCCTCTCTATTCATTTCATTTCTTTCATGTTATGCTACATTTGCCATGATAAATTCAAATTGGGTCCCTTCTGCAAGCTTGTCATGTTCCTAATTTCAGGGGGAACTGTTTTGAAATGTTACCATTAAACAGAATGCTTGGTGTAAGGATTGTAGAAAGCATTGAATTCGGATTGGTTGTTTAGTTTGCTGATACTGAACTTTTCTTTTGTGGGAGTGGCTGATTTTGTTAGTTTCTGGCCTCAGCTGGGTGTGACACGCAATGGTTCCCTTTGGTTTCGTGTGTGTTTGTTTGTGGTTTGGTTTTTTTGGTGGCTGTCTGGTATGGGGATCTGAACCCTTGACCTTGGTGTTACAAGGCTGTGCTCCAACCAGCTGAGGTAACTGGGCAGCCCTCCATGGTCCATTTGATTCAAGAGTCACCTATGTCCAGTTTTTGTTGTTGTTTTCTATGGCAATATCTCCAAGTTGGAACTAGTTGAATTTTAAAAGAATGTGAAATTTAGCCTGATATTTTGGAAAATCATGATCAAGTGGTCCTAAATACTTAGAGTTAAAAATTCAGAAACCATATTCATAACTATATCTAAATATATTTGCTGTAGTGACTAGTACTTCTAAAAAATTTTTGTACCTGCACTCCATGCCTTTATTTGTCGTATCCTCATCTCCATCTCAGCACACTCCAAGTTGAACTCTTCATCCTTCACCACTATCCTCCTCTGTCTGTCACTTTGCACAACTCAGTTGCAAAAATTTGGGGTCCTCCTTGACATTTCTTTTCCTCTCACAAGCCACCTTCAATTTATCAGGAAATTTGGTTGTCTCTAATTTCAGATTATGTCTGGAATCCAATCTGCACCTCCCTACTGCTGCTACTGACTTCTTCTAAACCACCATCCTGGTGTCCCTGATCACAGCCACCATGTCCAGCAGCTGCCCCTCATGCCTGTTATCAGATAATAGGGAACTTGCCGAGATGCTTGGTCAGGTCATTGCTGTGCTCAGAACACTGCACTAGCCTTCAGGTCACTCAGCACCAAAGCCAAATTCTCTACCACATAGTCAGGTCCCCATGACACCTGTGCCCGCCCATTCTCGTCACTCTCCTGTCACTTCTGCTGCTGCTCCCCGTCTCACTTTGCCCCAGTTGTACCAGCCTCTGGCTGTGCTCGAGTATCCAATGCCTGCTCCTCCATCGGTCGTAAGCTCTGACTGGGCTGTGGATTGAATGTCCCCCCAAAACTCCCTGAAGCTGGACCCCATTGTAACAGTGTGAAGAGGGTGGGAAATCAGACTATGGCAGTGTTGAAAGGTTTCAGAGGTGACTGGATCAATACGACTGTGCCCTCATGAATGGATTAACCCATTTGTGGGGTAATGGGTTAATGGTCTAGCGGGCTGTCATGGGAGTGGCTTCATAAGGAGAGCAAGTGAGCACGTTGAGAGCTCTTGCCATTCTCGCCACATGGCGCCCTGCATTGTTGGGACCCTGTAGAGAGTTCCTATCCAGAAGAAGGCTCTCGCCAGATGCGTCCCCTGGACCATGGATGTCCCAGCCTCCAAAACTGTAAGAAATACATTTTGCTTCTTTAGAAATTACCCAGTTTCAGGTATTCCATTGTAAGCAACAGAAAATGGACTAATACAGGCTTTTTACACCATTTGGGATAATTTTTTTCCCTTTCTATTCTTTTCCTTTGTTTTCTCCCCTATTCCGTATTGCCATGTTCAATTTAAATTGAGCATCTTCTGACGCTTTGTCTTATTCCTAATCTAAAGGGATCTATTTTGAAATTTTTTGCTGAAATAGGGTGCTTGGTGTGCTGTAAAGAATTAACCTGACCCAGGGCTGGCTGGTTGGCTCACTCGGTAGAGCACGGTGCTGATAACACAGAGGTCAGAGGTTGGGATCCCCATACGGCCAGCCACCAAAAAAAAAAAAAAAAGAATTAACCTTATCCAAAGAATACAGGTCTCACCTTTGCCCTTGGCTCCTGGGAGAGAATTTTTATATAAATGAGCCAAAGATGGCCTCTATGTATTGGCCCCTGGGCTGTTTATTTCTTCACAGCAATCGAGACTCATTAGGTCAAAAGCCTAGCAGCACCAAACTCAAATTTTTACACATCCAACTATTTTAAAAACAGCACAAACAAGCACATTCTTAGCCATTTCAAGCCTGCCTTCTTTCCATATCCTGTGAAACCTCACCTGAGAGCTGTTGCCCATTGATAAGACAGGGCCTTGGGGTTAGTTATAAGCCCCCAAGCCCCTTTGGAGCTCTTTGACCCAGCGGCTCCCTGCCGTGCTGCTGCGTGACAGCACCTCCACACATAAGCTGCCTATGTGATCCCCCCCTCCCCAGGAGTTCCCTTGCCCACCTCCTCTTCTGAATTTTGGCCCTCTCTGGACCAGCTCCTAATGTGAGGGACTTCTCCCGCATGCAGACCTGTCAGTGTTGCCCAATAAAACCTATGTGTGCTACTGCCACCTCTTGATCATATCATTTTTGTTAATCAGCCCCCAAATTCCTCAAACCCCAACAATAATCTCTCAGCTCTTGGGATGTCCTGCCTGGTGAGAGTGTGTTTATCTGGGGATCTTGACCCACAGTAGATACTGTATGCTAGCAATGTGATTTATGGTGGGGACTTTGGGCCACTCATCAGCTCAACCCCTGAAGTCAGCACGTGGGGGTCAAGCATGTCTATGTGAGTGAGCTCCAACAAAACTAAACACAAAGGCTCAGGTGAGCTTCCCTGGTTGGCAGTAATATGTGCACATCGTCTCACATTGTTGCTGGGAGACAATAGTGCTGCCCATGACTCCACTGGGAGAGGAGAACTGAACACTTTATGATTCTCCTGGACTCTGCCCCACGCAGCTCTTGCCTTGGCTGATGTTAACCTCTATCCTTCCACTGTAATAAGCCATAACTATGAGCACAACCGCTTTCGGTCGTGTCCTTCTAGCACATTGCTGAACCGGAGAGTGGTCTCGGGGACTCACGAGCTTGCAGTTGGGGTCAGAAGGGAGGTTATCTTGGGGATTCCTCAACTTTGCACTTGGTGTAAGTGTTTGTTGATACCACTGTATTTAAATTGGCAGTTTAGCCAATTTATACTGTCCTTTTCTTTCATGGGAATAACTGATTTTTCAGCCTTCAATTGGGTGTAAGATTCAATGGCACCCTGGGGTTCAAGAGTCTCTTGTGTCGTGTTTTGTGTTACTTTTCATCCCAGTGCTTCAAGTTGGCTCTAGTTAAGTTGAAGAAAAAACAAAATCCTTATCTTGACACTTTGTAAAATAATGACAAAACTGTTTCTAATCATTTATCATTTAATATTAACTTTTTTTCCAATTCAGTATTACCTAAAATGATTATTACCTGCCTTTATGCTGCCTTATTACTAGTCTAATGTATACACATATATCTGTGTGTGCACTGTCTGTATGTAATGGAAATTTATTTTTTATTTTTTGGTAGCTGGTGGGTACAGGAATCCGAATACTTGTTGTTATCACACTGTGCTCTAACCAACTGAGCTAACCAGCCAGCCCCTACATGTAATGGACATTTCTTATGAGACTATACTAGAGGTACCCTGTACGAAGAGTAATTAGGACTGACCTAGGCAGCTTTCACTTCCTGCACAAAAAGAGGGCACTTCAGTTCTGGTGCTCCTGTACTGAGGAGTAGCATCAGAATGGCAGCATGGAAGCTGTTTCTC